TTCACTGATGAATAGGCATTCATTTAGCGGATAGGCATTCATTTAGGCGATAGGCATTCATGCCATCAATAAGCATTCGTGAATGCCTATGCTACTAAACTTGTATGTACTCATGATTGATGTAACGACGTTTATCTGGCAACGTTTTCTTATATCATAAATGTGAGTATGACTGAAGAAAAAAACCACTTCACCGGGTATTCGGATACGAGGCGGGTTTTCAGCAGTACTCAAACCGTCCAAAACAACGTAGTGATAGCTGATGTGCGCCGTATATTACATCCGAGTCAGTACCATTCACTTGCAGCTGGATAAGTGAGAGATATCTTAGCATTTTTGCACCATTAAAATAAAAGTAGCTCTAAACTTCACTATTCGGAGGCGGGGAGTCGAACCTCGGTCTTCAGTTTTGTTATGAGAAACTGACTAGTTAAGAGCTGAGGTGTGCCGTCTACAACCGAGTTCTTTCCTACCCTTTGAGCTTGGGTATTGAATACGGTCTTTTCGCGGACTCAGGAGAGAAGACAAAAAAAAGACACATTCCTGACTCATTCGGATGCGGGGAGTCGAACCCCGGTCCTTAACCCGACAATCGTTTGAAAGCCCAATGAGCTGATATGCACCGTGCACCACATCCGAGATATGCCATACCCTTTGAAGCTGGGTACATAAGTAGGATTATTTTAGTATGGATGTGGCAAAAAAAAATGAATTGTCAAAATGAGTCGAACCCGTTCTTCAGCAGTGACACACGTATGAGAGCTGATGTGCACCGTGCACCACATCCGAGTTCTTCTCTACCAATTGGAGTTGGGAAAGTGGAAATATTTGAGCATCCACAGGACAAAAAAAGAAATTCATGCACTCATTGCGATTCGGATGCGGGGAGTTGAACCCCCTATAGATACCTCTGGCGCGATCTACAAGCAGCCTCTGTGCACTGTGAATCACATCTGAGTTCCCTTTATTCTTAAAACATGAGGTATTTCAGCATGAGCATGATGGAAAAAAAAAAATTTGCTTCACTAACTCATTCGGATGCAGGGAGTCAAACCCGGCTTTCAGCCCTTGATTTGGGGACTTGGCAGGTGAAGTTGATGTGCACCCATACACCACATCCGAGTTTTTCTTTATCCTTTGAACCTGAGTAAGTGGCACCGCGGGGGTTCATGGATCTTCCAAACTCAAAAATGTCTTTGAAACATGTCTACCATTTTCGTTAAACTTTCGGATCTCAGGAAAAAAGGCCAGGGATATCAAGTGTTTTCTTCATTTTTCCCTTCTGATAGAAGATTTTCTGAGTAATAAAGCAGCTTTGTTGATTTTTTTCCGGCCGAGAATTAATTCTATTCATAATACCAAAGACTGTTTGAACAAATAATGATTTCTTTGTCACACCAAGAAACAAATAGCATTTCAGTCACCCTTTGGCCAGATTTTGACCACCGAAAGAGATGCTGGCAGAGGGAGAAGATGATCTTACATTTTTCATCTTATCTTTGTTACAAGCCCTAAATTTAATGAAACAAGTAGACATCTTTGAACCTCGTTTTTGGGTCACAAAGATGTGTGGACCCCAGCAGTGTGGGCATTATTTTGGCATGGCATGCCCCAAAAATGAATCGGGGCTGCCATCTTATTCGGATGCAGGGAGTCGAACCCCGGGCTCCAGCTTACAGCATCAGTATACAAACAAGATAGTGCTAGCTGATGTGCACCGTGCACCACATCCGACTTACCTTACTTCTTTTTAAGATAGGGAAGTAGCAGTATTTCAGCATGGATGAAAAAAAAAAGACACCAAAAGGCCGAACGCATTTGGTGCAGGGAGTCAAACCCCGTTCTTCAGCATCAAGCGAATTCAAAATGTACCACAAGGTGTTGATATGCACCATGCACCACATCCGAGCTATTACCATTCATATGGAGTTGGGTAAATGTGGTATTGCAGCGAGGAAATGGGCAAAAAACATGGAGACATATAGAATCCGGATGCGGGGAGTTGAACCCCATTTTCAGCATGGTAAGTGAATCCAGATGACCTGGAGCTGAGGTATTCCGTATACCACATCCGAGCTATTTCCTCTATTTGAACCTGAAACATCCTGCGTGGATGTGGCCAAAAAAAACCACATTGCTTCTATCATTCGGATGGGGGGAGTCGAACCCCGGCGTTCAGCCTACAGGCTTGCTATGGAGTTATTTAGAGCCAAGGTGCGCCGTGCACCACATCCAACTTGGTTCCCTTCATTCGAACCTGGGTAAGTGGGCAGCATTTTGGCATGGACCAAAGAAAATAACTCAAATGCGAACTATTCGAACGCGGGGAGTCGAACCCTGCATTCACTGGATCATAAATTCATACTGGGAGCTGCCGTGCACCGTGCACCACAACCCGAGTTAATAGCCTTCAGTAGTAGCATTTTGGCGAACTCAGGTCCAGGAGAGAAAGGCAAAAATGAAAGACGCGCGTATTCAGATGCAGGGAGTCGGACCCCGTTCTTCAGCTCTCACAATGCCTGGATTCATTTTACCAGAAGCCAATGTGCACCCTGCACCACACCCGAGTTACTTGCTTCTATTTGAACCAGAGCACATGAGAGTCGAGAGCAAGCCGGGCCGGTAGTATTTGCACATGTTTCGGCCCTCGTCGTGGCGTCCTCGCGGTAGCAGGTAAGTAGTACCACGCTCCTCGCTCGCCCTTCTGCTCCTTCCCCCATGTCCTCCCCGGCGCACCGGCATCGCCCTCCTGCAGACCGCCGCCGACCCCGCCGCTCGCACCTCCGCCGTCCCTCCGATCCCGCTGCCGCGCCAAGAAGAGCGTCTTCGGCCGGCGCCTGCTCCCGTTCGCTCGCTCCCGCCGGGACCCCGTACTGCCGCGGCACTACCGCGCGGCGTTCACGGGGCGGGGCGGCGCGCGCGTGGACACGGACGACGACGCTACGGCGCTGTTCGCCGTGGCCGACACCTCGCACTCCATCTCGTCCATCCCCTCTTCCTCGAGCGAGCTTGTTGATCTAGGAACGTCGCACTCAAACCCGCTCTGCCCGCGCTCGCCCTCCACACCCAACCCTTCCCGCGCTCTTTGCCCCGCCCTTGGCACACACACCGTCCCTCCCGCTTTCAATTTTTGGACACCCCGCAAACAATACCGCGTCTCTAGCGCCACGAAATGCCAGTTCAAGCTATGGGCTTTCCACCACCTACGAAGCATTTCCTGTTCTGTTGACTTGATCTGCCCAAAGGACGCAACCTATTGCGGCTTCTCAAATCATGCATTTCTAAATAAAGGTATCGCTCTCCCGAGACCGACACAGCCGATTTCTCCAACGTTTCTGACTACAGTGGTAGAAGTCCCGCTACAGTGTCGGCTCAAACCCGTAATTTGCACGCCTACGAATGCCAATTCAATCTCCCGCCTTGCCGCGACTTCTGCCAAGACCCGCTTCAAACACTCACACCTCATTTTTTTTCACCATCCTGCGGCCTCGCGCGTCGAATCCAACTTTCAAATCAAGTTCTGGACTTCTCTCTACCGATCTGGCGTGCCATTCTACCGACTTTGCGCGTTTTTCCTTTTTCCTTTTTTGGCCCGCTTCGCGGCCTGCGACTTCAACATATTTCTTCCTCTCTCAACGGCCTCCGGTCTCAAAAGGCAGCGAAAGACCGAAGATTTCCGACTATAAAATTTTCAATCAATCTTTCATTTCGGTTTTTTCTTCCAGCTTCGCGGGTGTACAAGCTCTGACTCGATTTTTCGAGTTGCCACCCTTTCCCGCCTTTGAAATCTGCCCGGGATCAGGAATTCAAAAATTCTAGGCCGCTGATCTTATGCGCTTTCCCGCGGACCTGGCGCGTATTTTTTCGTCACTTTTCTTCCCGCTTTGCCGCGCTTCTCCGACCTCAAAGTTCGCGCTGGATTCGAAATCTCGACGACTTGGCGTATCTTGGCGCGATGTTGGTTTGACCCGACGTGTCCGGCCCATGGTACACAAATTCCAGAGCGCTTTAATCGAGGTTCGTCCTCATTTCCTCCTTCAAATTCACCTATTAATATTTTTCTTGACCACATCCATTTCCGCCGGTTCTTTATCACTATCATTTTCATCAAGCGCGGTCTAGCAGCTGCAAGGAGCGCCACTAGCCTTAGTTTTGCTTAGGGTACATTTTTTGCGACTCTATTTATAAAATGAATACATCCGAACTTTGTACATGTAATCTGCCAGGACGGAGAGTTTTTGGGTACCTCCGTCGAACATCTATTTTCGGGCTCGGCGAGCAGTAGGGGGAAGATCTTTCAGGGTTTTCAACAAAAAGCAAAAAAGTCTACGGCTGCCACTTATTCGGATTGGGGGGGTCGAAGAGATTCAACCGGCAACACAACTTATTACTATTAGAACGTGCACCGTGCACCACATATGAGTTGTTCCTTATCTTCTGAAGCTGGGTATGTAGGCATTCATGAACATAAAAAAAAAGATTCAACATTTATTCGAACATTCGGATGCGGGGAGTCGAACCCTGATCTTCAGCTTACAGAAATTTAGAGATAAAAACGTGTAATGCGAAGCTGATGTGCAACGTGCACCACATCCGAGGTATTCCATACCTTCTCAACCTGGGTGAGTGGGCATTACTTGAGCATGGACAAAAAAAGAAAAGAAAAGAAACCCAGCTTTTATTCGGATGCGGAGGTTCCGTTCTTCAGCAGTACTGCGATCGGCTCCGTTTAGTGGCAACTGAGGTACCACATCCGAGATATCTAATGCCATTTGAAGCTAGGGAAGTAGCAGTATTTCACCCCCCCAAAAACGGCCCATTTTATTCGGATGCGGGGAGTCCAACCCCGGTGTTCAGCTTCCACCTTTGTCTTGACGGAGCTACAAGAAGCTGACGCGCACCATGCACCATATTCGAGTTACCCCCCTCCATTTGAGGTTGGGTAAGTGGGTAATGTTTCAGCATGGACATGACAAAAAAAACTCGAATTGCAGGACGAATTCGGACGCGGGGAGTTGAACCCCGGTCTTCAGCCTTTCACGTCCTCGAAATCCCGGCGTATGCGAAGCTGATGTGCACCGTGCACCACATCCGAGCTATTACCATTCATATAGAGCTGGGTAAATGTGGTATTTCAGCGAGGAAATGGGCAAAAAACAAGGAGACGCGCTGAATTCAGATGCGGGGAGTCGAACCCCGGGCTGCAGCTTACAGCGTCACTATACACCTTAAATAGTGGTACCTGACGTGCACCGTGCACCACATCCAACTTAGTTCCCTTCATTCGAACCTGGGTAAGTGGGCAGTATTTTGGCATGGACCAAAAAAAAGAATTCAAACGCGAATTATTCGGATGCGGGGAGTCGAACCCCGGCCTTCAGCTTGAATTTACAAAGGCGCAGGGAATCCATTTTTTAATGAGAAGCTGGCGTGCACCGTACACCACATCTGAGTTAATACCCTTCATTTGGAGCTGGGCCATTTGAGCATGAACACGACACGGCTCAAAAAAGAAATTCAGCCACTGCCACTCATTCGGATGCAGGGAGTCGAACCCCGCTGTTCAGCCTGCATATGGACTGTAAGGCATTAAGAGAAGCTGATGTTCCCCATGCACCACATCCGGTTATTCACTACTATTTGGGAGTGATAGGACCAACCGACTGTCTGAGCGCGAGCAAAAACCTCCAAAAATAAAAACCTCTGATGCGGCTGCAGGAGGAAGGAAGGTAAAATGAAGAAGATGGAGAGGAAGTTTAAGCGAAGCTCGGTGCTTGCTCAAACCAACGAAACGCCGACGACGAGGGGACAAGCAACAGAGCGGCGACGAGGGCAACAAAAACACGAGGACGAGGCGAGACTCCACGGCAACGACGAGGGCCGAGAGCTAGAACGACGGGGAACGAGAGCCGATGGGAAAACTATTCTCTCTTGTTTTTTTGGTAGGTACAGTACAATTTATATACTGAAAATGGGGAATTTGGAAACAAATGAATAAGAAAGGGGAAAATGAGTAATATAAAAAGTGAAAGCGGAGCGCCGGGAACGGGGATGTGTCGGGACGTAGGGATACAGCTAGAATGGCAACAGGAATGCACGGAATTAAAAGAATGGGGAATATATCCAAATTGGGTAGTGAGGACGTAGTGTGATCGGAATTGGGCATATTACGTGCGTAGCGGTGAGCGGTGCTCACTAGGAGATATTTCAGCATGGACATGACCCAAAAAAACGGCGCAGTCGCTCCAAGCTATTCGGATGCGGGGAGTCGAACCCCGGCTTTCAGCTCCAAGTTTACTGACATACGAGCAACAAGAGCTGGTGTGCACCCTACACGACATTTGAGATATTTTCTATCATTGAAACCTGGGTAAGTAGGCATTATTTTGGCATGGACGAATTGAAAAAAGCAAGTGGGCATTATAGCATAGAGTGGTAAAAAAAATGACATGTTCGCTATTTTATTTGGATGCGGGGAGTCAAACCCGTCCTTCAGCAGTGGCACACATATCCACAATGTACTGAGAGCTGACGTGCACCGTGCATTACATCCGACTTACTTCTCTTCATCTGAAGTGGGCATTATTTTAGCATGGACATGTCTTTGAAAAGAAAATCGGATCACCGGGGATTCGGATGCAGGGAGTCGAACCCCCGGCTTTCAGCTCTAAACTTATCGACAAACAGTATCAACAAGGAGCTGGTGTGCACCCTACACCACATCTGAGATAATTTCTTTCATTGAAATCTGGGTAAGTCTACCTGTTTCATTAAATTTATGGCTTGTAACAAAGATAAGATGAAAATTGTAAGATCGTCTTCTCCTTTTGCCAGCGTCACTTTCAGTGGTCTGGCCAAAGGGTGATTGAAATGCTATTTGTTTCTTGGTGTGACAAAGAAATCATTATTGGAGCATGAAAGACTGGATGGACAATGGGGCCCATTGTTCAAACAGTCTTTGGTATTATGAATAGAATTAATTCTCGACCGGAAAAAAATCAGCAAAGCCACTTTATTATTCAGAAAATCTTCTATCAAGAGGGAAAATGAAGAAAACACGTGATATCCTTGGGCCTTTTTTCCTGAGCTCCGAAAGTTTAAAGAAAATGGTAGACATCTTTCAAAGACATTTTTGAGTTTGGAAGATCCATGAACCCCCACAGTGATTGGAGACAGTTGATGTGCACCGTGCACTACATCCCACTTACGTCCCTTCATCTGAGCCTGGATAAGTGGCCATTATTTTAGCATGAACATGACCCAAAAAATCGCTTCTCAATGGGTATTCGGATGCAGGGAGTCGAACCCCAGCATCACAAGCCATACCATTTCAAAACCGGATAGAAGGCGACGTGCACCGTGCACCACATCCGAGGTATTCGCGACCATTTAGAGTTGAGGAAGTGGAGATATATTTCAGCATTAGTGTGGTTGAAACAAACAATCTGAATCATCCGAGTTTTTTCCGATCCTTTACAGTTGGGTAAATGTGAAGTATTTTAGCACGAAAGCAGCAAAAAAAATGACAACTCAACGAATAGCCAAGTACTCGGATGCAGGGAGTCGAACCCCGGGCTCCAGTTTACAGCGTATATGCACAAGCTAGTGGTCGCTGACGCGCACCGTGCACCACATCCGAGTTTTTCTTTATCCTTTGAACCTGGGTAAATGAGAATATTTCGGCACAAAAGTAGCAAAAAAGAACAAGATTGCTCTTTTATTCAGATGCGGGGAGTCGAACCCCGTCTTCAGCTTACCAATTACAAATTGGAAGAGCTACTATTGAGTGCACCGTGCACAACATCCGAGTTGTTCGCTACCATTTGGAGGTGGGTAAGTAGGATTATTTTAGCATGGATGTGGCAAAAAAAAAAAGAAGTGCGAGAGAGGCTTTATTCAGATGCGGGGAGTCGAACCCTGTTCTGTAGCATTCACTGGATCACCTAACATATAGTAGGAGCTGATGTGCACAATACACCACATCCGAGTTATTTCCCTTCATTTGAGCCTGGGTAAGTAGTAGCAATCTACGGCGTTGAAAAAAAAAACTCAAAACCCGCAACATCATTCGATGCGGAGAGTCGAACCCCGGCTTTCAACCTTCCAGTTGGAAGGGACATTGACAAGGAGCAGACGTGCACCGTACACCACATTCGACTTACTTCCCTTCATCTGAAGCTGGGTAAGTGGGCAATATTTTAACATGGGCATGCCTTTGAAAAAAAACCACTTGTCACCGGGTATTCGGATGCGGGGAGTCGAACCCGACTTTCAACCTTTCGCACTATGAGAATACACTACGTGAAGCTGATGTGCACCACATCCGAGATATTATGCACCAGTTGGAGCTGGTTAAGTAGGTGAGTGTTACTTCAGCCCTGGCATGAGCATGATTGAAAAAAAAAGATAATCTGAAGCACCCAGACCATTCGGATGCGGGTAGAACCCCAGGGCAAGTAAGAGCCAATGAGTCACCGTGCACCACATCCGAGTTATTTAATACCATTTGGAGTTGGGTAAGTGGGAGATATTTAAGGGTTTCAATTCACAGACATGATAATGGTACTGTGTTATTCGGACGCGAGTCGAACCCCGGTCTTCAGCCTGCATCTTGGAACAAATACTAAGAGAAGGTGATGTACGCAGTGCACAACATCCGAGATATTCTGTATCATTTGGAGTCGGGGAAGTGCGAAAATCTCAACTTGGGGGGCAAAAATCCACTCTGAAACAGTAAGGCGTCATTCGGACGCGGGGAGTCGAACCCCGTTCTTCAGAATCAAGAGAATAACAAGGGGCTGATGCGCACTGTGCACCACATCCGAGTTATTATCATTCATATGGAGTTGGGTAAGTAGCCGAAATTTAGCATGGGCATGCCTTTGAAAAAAAAATCACTTGACCAATACTATTCAAATGCGGGGAGTCGAACCCCGGTCTTCAGCTTCTCGTATTTGCTCACACATGTATATAGAGCTGAGGTGCGCCTTGCACCACATCCGAGTTATTCCCCTTCATTTGGAGTTGGGTACTATTAGTCACCGGGTACTGGGCCACTTTAGCACTTTTGACCGCTGGCCTGCCCATAGAGCGCAATATATCCTTGGCTTTTGACCCTTAGATTAGGACTGACATACCAAGAGTAAGATCAGATATTTTCGGCCAATTTTCGGCAGTGCTTTGACGGCTCAACGAATTTATTTTTCGGGCCACCCCCAAAATGGCAATGAACTAGGTAGTGGGCCACTGGCCTAAATTCGTTGTTGGGACTCGTACCATGCAACCGGAAGCACTCAGAATCACTCATGAGGATCGTAGGCATAATGTGGAACACTCAAACTTTGGATTCAAAATGTATAAGGATTGTAATTACTAGCACTTCTGGCGAGGTGGACGGGGAAAACTGATGTATCGACGAAATCGCGTGTAGTACAACGCAGAGAGGCCGATCTTGGCCAAAGAGAGGTATTAGAAGGGTAGATAGGAAGTAATTACACATACCTGAGTACGATAAATGGCGCTTTCATACCAATATCCGCCCAAACAAAATCCATTTATGCGCGGCAACAAAAGTGGGTGGTCCGGGAAACTCAGCCACACTGAAGGTGTAGCCGAATGGCAGTGGACCAAAGAGAGGTTTGAGGATACTCAGGTGTGTGTCTGCCATCAAAGTACCGGGTTCCAAAGCCCTAGCAGTGTTGAGTGGATCACTATAGAGGATTCTGTCTTGGGCCAGGCAAAATCAGTTCTCGCCATTCTTGAACGGTTGGAGAGGGAATCCCGGATGATTGCAGGGTCCAGGGTCCTTTGATAGCATCCCCCTGCGTAGAGGCAACAAGATGGGACCTCAAACTTGTGAATTGGTCGAGAATTGGCTGAGAAATGGGCAGAGGAAGAGTGTGGGAGCCGTTCGGAGATAAGAATCGATCAATTCCCACCGGCCCCTCAGGAACAAACGGGGCACAGCTTCTGATCAGCGCATCACTCCCAGTCAAAATTTGATGTCCGACATCCTCATACATCTTGCTCCATCCCACAAGCATCAAATCACCCTATTCTCTAATGATACTGCTTAAATTCTCCAAGTGGCCCACTACCCCAACTGGCCCACTACCCAGTCGTATATAGTAAGTGCTCAGGGTTTCAACAAAAACGGAAAAGCACAGAAAGCCTTCATTCGGATGCGGGGAGTCGAACCCCGGTCTTCAACATCACTTCAAGAGGCGTTCGCGCACAGAGAGCTGACGTGCATCATGCACTACATCCGAGTTAATAGCCCTCATCTGAAGCTAGGGAAGTGGCAGAATTTCAGTATGGACGAAAAAAAAAAGCAAGGCAGATAGATACATTCGGATGTGGGGAGTCGAACCCGTTTTCAACATGGTAATGAATCAAGATGACCTGGAGCTGAGGTACGCCGTACACCGCACCCAAAATATTCAATACCTTCTGAACTAAGCTTAGATATCACCAACTAACAAGGAGCTGGTGTGCACCCTACACCACATCTGAGATATTTTCTATCATTGAAACCTGGGTAAGTAGGCATTATTTTGGCATGGACGAATTGAAAAAAAGGCAAGGTAGACACATTCGGATGCAGGGAGTCGAACCCCGTTCTTCAGCTTACACCTACGAAGTGTACCTAATGGCCACTGATGTGCACCCTGCACCTGCACCACATCCGAGTTAATATGCTTCATTTGGAGTTGGGGAAGTGGGCATTATTTTGGCATGGGCATGCCTTTGAAAAAAAATCACTTGACAGATTATTCAGATGCGGGGAGTCGGACCCCGGCCTTCAGCTTGAATTTATGAAGGCACAGGGAATCAATTCTTCAATGAGAAGCTGAAGTGCACCGTACACCACATCCGAGTTAATACCCTTCATTTGGAGCTAGGAAATTTGAGCATGGACACGACACGGCTCAAAAAAAAAAACCCAGCCATTGCCATTCTATTCGGACGCGGGGAGTCGAACCCCGACCTTCAGCCTGCAACAATGATACATTATGGTTAGCCATTAACAGGAGCTGTTGTGCGCCATGCACCACATCCGAGTTGTCCTATATTATTTGGAGTTGGGTAGTGTGAGCGAGGATGCGGTTGAAAAAAAGACTATTATTGCAATATGTCCACTATAGCTAGTCAGATGCGGTCAGATGCGGGGAGTCGATCCCGCTGCATTGAAAGAGCAAGATAAGAGTTGAGGTGCACCATGCACCACATCCAGAGTTATTTAATACCTTCTGAAGCTAGGTAAATGCGGTATTTCAACATGAGTGTGGCAAAAATGAACGATGCACCGCGTATTCGGATGCGAGGAGTCGAACCCCGATCTTCAGCATTACACATATGGCGCGGATTGAATTGTAGCTGATGTGCACCCTGCACCACACCCGAGTTACATTCTTCTATTTGAACTAGAGAACATGGGAGTCGAGAGCAAGCCGGGCCGGTAGTATTTGCACATGTTTCGGCCCTCTTATGAGGTCGTGGCGTCCTCGCGGTAGGAGATACACGTTGCTCGGCGCGTGGACACGGACGACGACACGACGCCGCTGCTAGACGTGTCAGACACCCGGCGCTCCATCCCTTCCACCTCCTCCTCGGGCGAGCTTGTTGATCTGGAGATGCCGCACTCAAGCCTGCTCTGCCCGCGCTCGCCCTCCACACCCAACCCATTCCCGCGCTCCTTGCCATGCTCTTCGCACACACACCGTCCCTCCCGCTTTCGATTTTTGGACACCCCGCCAGCCCACCCATTTCTAAATAAAGGTATCGCTCTCCCGAGACTGACGCAGCCGTTTTCTCCAACGTTTTGTGACTCGACTGGGAGTTCCCGCATCAGTGTCGGCTCAAACCTGCAACTTGCACGCCTACAAATATCAAGTCAAGCTCTCGCCTTGCCGCGACTTCCTCCAAGTACATCACAAACTCGGCTTTGCCTGAAGCTCTGCGAAGACCCGCTTCAAAAGACTCAACCCTGATTTTTCACCTTCCCGCGACTTCGCTCCTCGAATCGAACTTTCAACAAATCAAGCTATGGACTTCTCGTCACCGACTCTACCGATCTGGCGCCGACTTTGCGCGTTTTTTCTTTCTTTTTTGCCCGCCTCGCAGCCTATTTGTTGCCCTTCCCACGACGTCATGAAACCGAGGATTTCCAACTACGGGAGTTTAAATCAATCCCGCGGCTTTCCTCCAATTGGACCCGACATTCTACCGACTTCGCGTGTTTTATTTCCGATGTTTCTTCTCGCTTCGCAGGTGTACAAGCTCTGACTCGAATTGCCACGCTTTCCCGCCTTGAAAATCTGCGCTGGATATGGCATTCGAAATTCTGGGCCACCGATCTTGTGCGCTTTCCTGCGGACTTGGCGTGTTATTTTCGGGATTTGTTACCGCTTCCGGGGCACCTCAAAGTTCGCGCTGGATTCAAAATCTCGTGCGATTCCGGACAACTTGGCGTGATTTTGGCTTCCCGCCCATGGTACCTCTGGAAATTTCTAGAGTGTGTTAATCGAGGTGGAGAGTGAATAAAGGAACTTTTTTTCCTAACTTGGAACTTTACTTGTGTGCCAGCTTAACCGCATTGAACTTTACTTGGCTTTACGTGACTTTTCCCACGCGTGGTAAATTTAACTTGTACGTGCACGGTTAGGTGGATTTCCCTCGCTGGAGCTGCAGTCCCTTCTAGGACTTCATATGACCATTTGTATAGCATATAAGACATGACTTATCCCCTCCTCAAGCATTATGGCAACAAATGACGTAGATGAATTACTGACAGGCATCACTCAGTGTTTCGGTGCGAACACCCATCGAGAACAATGCTACGGTTCACACTCGAGCATGGGTACAGTGTATCTAACTAGCGAATGCATCCATGAAAGCTCAAGACTTCATACGGCGAATTCTGGCCAGTAGTTGACGCAACACTATCATATGTTAACACACAAGCTCAGTTGAACTCGCAGTGCTTCACTTGATTTTGCGTGGGGCTTTAGTTTGTGTAGCTTCACTGTGCGTAGCTTTACTTTACTTGGAGCCAGTTGATCAAGGAATTAAGATGATTGACTAATGTAGAGATATTAAATGGTTGCACGGCACACTGCTAGCTCAGGTTCAGTATTTGATGCCCAGTATCTACCCGTCGTTGTCTATTACTGCATATCCCTTATGGAGGGGCGGCCGCACATGTGCACCAACCTTCTGAGGGAAATGTCGCTCAAGGGAATAGAGCCGGGGCCAATGTCACCAGTTCGTAATTGATGAGCACTGGGCTCAAGCTTCCAAAGGACTTATATCATGTGAAGTGTTGCTCCCAGACATTGATAGAGACACCGTTGCGATCAGTTTTGTAATGGAATGAACGAGCACCACATTGATCGTGAAGTAACGGCGCTCCGAGAAAGAAAGTGCGGGATTTACATCACTGCTTGAGCTGGTCTTTGCACGCAGCCGGTTGGGTTTGGGGACGGGACAGACGTTCGCAAGTACTGCGGTTGAGCACACCCATGCAGACACGAACCTTGGCCTGATGTCCTGCATGCTGGACCGTCCCGTTTGAACACTATACCCATTTATTTTACTTCCATTTTCGTTGATGGACGGCAACTGGCCGCATGTGTGGCGAACCTTCGAAGCGGGCGGACGTTCGTTTCTGTGGCCTTCATCGTCTCTGTCTAGGATCGACCGCTTTCGCTTCTCCACCTGCAATGCACAATTGGGGGCATAATAATTCGCTCGAGGCTCCGAAATCCTGAGCGTACCTGCGGACCATTTTAATTCCTGGCAGTCACGGGAAAGGCGCGTTCCAAACATCAGAGTTCGACCAGAAGCGGAATTTGTCTCGTCTGAATAGGTTCAGTATCACACTCCATTCCGCGGCCTTCAGGGCTCTGAAAAAAAAAACATGACCCACTCCAGGGGTTCATTAATGGAGAGCCAGGCGACTTGCCACGATCCTAGGATACTCGAGCCCGTTGGTTAATGTGGGCGTATCATGCTGCGGCCCTATTTTAATGCACGTTACAAGTCCCTGGACAGTCAATATTGTACCATTTTGCTCGCCTGGCCATCAAGAATGTGTAACTGAAGGCGTATTTTGGATTTCCCTGACGGTAAGTCGCTCAGAAATTTAATCATATAGATAGCCACAATCACCTTGGATGTTGCTGCTAATATCTAAATGAGCCGACTGGAGCAAAGGCCTCGTGTGGTTGGATTGATGATGAGTCTTCCAGGGGCAAGTGGGAGTGTGAATGACGTGAAATCTCATTGGAAAGGCGTTAGAGGAGCCGCAGGTCCTTTTAGATTCGAACATTGTTGTTCCGATTGGCTCGGAGACTGAGAACGACTTGTCTTGCCGAATCGACTACATGAAACCGTTCCGACAACTCTGTAGCGTCTTGGCCCAGCTTGGCCCAGCTCGCCATTTTATCTTCCCATGATGATCCTGCTCACACGCAAGGAGGTTACTGCCTGTCTGCTTGCTTCAGAGTGGGCTTTATTTGGAGCCGTTCAGTCGTCTCCAACGGCGTTAATTTACACACATTGCCCGTGTGGCCGTAAATAGGTTCTCAATTGGGTTTTCACCCCACACGTGAATATGTACCTGTCGGACAAGTTCTCACGGTTCCTTTTGGTTTATGAATGCGGCACCCGTCCATACATAACTTGTACTTTCACATTATGGGTACTTGTTCTGGTCCAGAGTCGAAGAGCAGCCTCAAGATGGTGGCTATTCCTCGCAGCATCACCTGTATGTTTGATTACATATTCGCCCGTGTCCTTGTACCCATAAATGGGCTCTACTTGTATTTACTTACAGTTACTTTGCTGTACATTGCTTTACTTAATGGGTACTTTTACAGCCGTTTTCAAAAGTTTGTACACCTTTTCCAAAAGGGTGCTGCTCCGATCGTGCTTACGATTGTTTGCTCATGTGTCTTCGCGCTCCACAGCGCTCCACCTGCCCGCGTCAATGCATTCACCTTTATGCAATCACCATGGGGACCAACAAGCGTTGAACAAGCGCATTTCCGCTGAGAAATGGAAGGAAGTGATCCATCTGTACCACAACGGCCACCGCAAACAAGCCGACATCGTGAAAATGGCCGGTTGTGGAGTCACAACACCGTATCGCACTGATGACGTAGTGAGTGTTAGTGAGTGGGGCAGACGCCGCAGCAAACAATTGTAAGCACGATCGGAGCAGCACCGTTTTGGAAAAGGTGTACAAACTTTTGAAAACGGCTGTACTTTACTTTACTTGACAAAAGTACTTGGCCTGCCAAAAGTAAAGTAAAGTTAAATTTGTAGGGCCAAGTTAATTCACATAAGTAACTTAGTGAGGTCTCATTGAGGTGTATCCTCCTTCAACCTTAACTATTATTCTCAATCACATCGATTTACGAGTGTCTTTGATCCTCTATATATCACTTCATCAACAACGATCCAAGCGCAGTCTAGCAGCCGCAAGGAGCACCACTAGCCCTAGTTTTGCTTAGAGTACATTTTTTGTGACTCTATTTATAAAATGAATACATCGGAACTTTGTACGTGCAATCGGCAAGGCGGAGTACCACCTTCGAGCATTTTGTTTTCGGCCTCGGCGAGCAGTAGGTGGAAGATATTTCAGGGTTTGCAACAAAAAGCACAAAAAAGCCTACGGCTTCCATTTATTCGGGTTGGGGGAGTCGAACCCCGAGATTCAGCCTACAGGGCGGCTTATTACTATTAGGACGTGCACCGTGCACCACATCCGACTTACCTTCCTTCTTTTGGAGTTGGGTAAAAGGGAGATATTACTGTAAAAAAAAAAATGACGACGCGTTTGAGCGCTCAGATGCGGAGAGTCGAACCCCGGTCTCCAGTAACAGAGCCATACTATTTCATAACCGAAGAGAAGCTGATATGCGCCGCCGTGCACCACATCCGAGACATTCCATGCTCTTCGAAACTGGGTAAGTGTGCATTATTTGAGCGTGGACAAAAACAAAGGAAATAAAAACCAACTTTTATTCGGATGCGGGGGCTCCGTTCTTCGGGACTA